GGACTGTACGTCTTGGCTCAGAGCTACGCTCCCATACGCCACCAGGACAGAGCCAGGAGAGCAACTCGCTGGATGTCCACGTCGGACAAAAACTATAATTATCATTTTAAACTGTCGGATTAATTCTATTGATGAATCATTATTTTCACCTCTAGTGCAAATATGCACAAAAAAAGTCTAAAATCATAAAATTCCTTTCTCCAAATACTAAAATGTTTGAATTGCAAATGCCATGGTTTAATCTTTTATCTTGTGTTCGTAACTGCTCTGGATATTCTACTGAGTCAGTTTATAGATTAACCCGATAGTTAAGTATTTCATTAGATAATCAGGTAAAATGCTCACAACAAATTAAGGGTCTTCATCACACCAAAGCAAAAAAAAAAAAAAAAGTACATTTTCAAGGATTGGAACTAACTTATGCATTCGCCTACTTGTGATGTTCCTGAATCAAGCAACTGTTAAATTTATGATGCCAGAAAGATGCCTAACACAGTCCTACTGGGCCGAAACTCCAATTCATTTAAAGTCAATGTCATCTTACAGCTCAAAGTCAAAAATCCAAAGGACATAATTAAAACATGTGGCATCAGAGCACCAGGACAAAACCACAACATATTGTACTACAGCAAAATGTCAAAGCAAAGCAAACACATAGATTCGAGAAACTTGAAAGTGACTTTTTGGCATAAAAATGACAGGGCCCATGACCCAACTAGAAATAAATCTTGTCCAACGATCTCCATTCCTCATTTTACTTGGCTGAAACTATCTGAGGGCTGAAGAGACTTCTATTAGTTATTTATAGCAATAAACTCTAGAATGTTTTATTACAAACAGTACAACAACCAAAACCATAATCTATTTTATAAGAGAATTTCAACAATAAATCTGTCTGTGAAATTATACTGAAGGTCAACAGTCTCCACTCACCTCCTGGGACGCTTCTGCTTATTCTTTGTGCGGCTTTTCCTGGTGGGTTTGGGCAGAATTCTCCTCTGAAAGTCAACATCATTTGATTATTCTCATTAGGATTCAGACAAAAGACAACTGCAACTCAGATCCACACACAAAAAAAGATATTTGAAGACCGACTAACATTCTCAGTCCCAGCTAGATATGGGCAAGCAGCTTATGTGACAAAGTTTAGTTCATGCTGCTTTACAAATGTTTGCAAAGGTCAAAAATGTTTTTCACTTCATAGCTAAATTCTAAGGACATGCGGGAACTGACACTTCCTGAGTATGACATGGTGTAATTTCAGCATCACATTGATCAGTTGAACCCTGGTGTCAAATAATGTGCACTGCATGGTTTAGCTCCCCAGTAACGGCCCCAAAGGACTCTGGGAAGATGTAGGAATATGCAGGACGCTCGTCCTCACCAGCCAGAA